GTTTTAAGTTACGTAACTGTTAGGTTATTACATTGTAACAAACGTTATGTTATTTGTTAACTTAAAGTTACGTAACTGTTAGGTTATTACATTGTAACAAACGTTATGTTATTTGTTAGTTTTAAGTTATGTAGCTGTTAGGTTAGGTTATTCAGTGGGTACCTTAGTGCCTCCAAATTCACGTTATAAACTTCGAAACTATTAAGGTAGACCCAGTTCATAGAAAAGTTTCATGAACAATTGGCCCTTCGGATGCCACATTCACATCCCGTTAAAATCGATAATAGACATTGTCCACCATACTTTGTCCACACCAAATACTAGAATCGATCGTACTACACATACTTTGATAAGGAACGATAATTGCATTTATGCACTGGATGTACTCAAATACAAGCAGCCACAGGAAAGAAACACACATCTCTATAAAATATCGTATTTCCGTGTACCGACATTTAACACCGATATATTCTGCATTCTACTTTTTATTCCAACCTAACGTTGTCTTTACGGCTAGTCACTTTAAAGAGCTACTTGTACCAAATATATCCGAAGTTGGAAAAATGTCTTTAGAAGAAAATAGGTTCTTTAGTAAATTGACAAGTAGATAGAGGCGTAGTAGTCGATTCAAGATAGAGAGCATACTTGCGTGCTCCCTACCGGTGTTCCTTAATACTATAAGTGACGTAAAACTCCGTTTTCTAAGCTTTCGCTTCGAGCTAACGATTTCTATCGCATCTACGTTAGCCAACCGTCTCGCGATTGGCATTCTATTACGTTAATTTCGCATTTAGTTAATACCCTTTTAGTCGGAGAGCCTCGACAGTTCATGGCACAGTCATAATTTGGATTAACGAGCGACGAACATTGCTTCGGATACTACCTACAGATTGTTTTGTATGTGTGTGATCTGTGTATATGTGTGTACACGCTTCTGTCTAGACAGGGTTGAGTTGATTTAAATCATATTAAAATCGCGATTTAAATCATAAGTTTATCAATTGGTTTTTTTTTAATCAAGGTATCACATAACGCGGTTGCATGGTTTGCGCTGTCATATATATATACATAAAAAGAAAGAAAAAAGGCGACGTTTTACGTATCAATAACCATTTTTTATGAAAAATGGTATGTAAAAGTGTAATAAAGCGACGTGACCACATCATTATATTTGGGGTTAATAATTAAAACGTTTCAAGTGTGATGATTATATACGTAGAAATAAAATCCGCGTACTATAAATATTTAATTTAAAAGAAGCTTCTCAGAACATGAAAAAGTATCTCGAAACAGTTAACATATTGAACACAACTGGCGTGATGTTTAAACGGAAATACTAATTTAGATGCATTTTGATTGTCAAGTCTATTTCTAATACCTGAATGTACCAGCCAGTACGAAGGAAAGATACTTTTTACATCCGCAGATGATGTTACCGCACACAAATTGCCAAATCATGGCCCGTAAGCTCTCGATTCGTGGAAAGAAATTACGATCATTTTTGGGGAATACTGATTAAATTAAACCACCAAGTAGCATAAGGAGATACAACGCCATGTATCGAAATCGTTCCTACTTTTTAGGGTCCAAGATATTTAGATATTTTCTGATCTAGTGCCGAGAGCGCCTCCTAGATGAAACTTTGCAATTAAAAATTATCGTTTGCTAGCGCGTCCGCTAGTCTTTATCGCGTTAAAAACTACATAAAAACTAATTCTGTATATTATCGCGGATTATACTTTCACTTTGCGTACCTTAATTGCAAAATTAAAAGCAATTTGTGTCGTTTACATAGGTAGAAAGTGATTTGGCCACGTAGGATTGGAGTTCCTTTATATTCCGCAAGTGGCGCTCGCATCGTTATACCACTGAGAATTTGAGATTCTGGGCAAAGAATTGAGAAGTCCAATAGAAGCCTAGATTCTATGTTAGCGCTTGATGCTTTATAAGTTGGCTAACAAACCAGAAGTGGGGTTAAAAGAGAGATCGCACGTGTTAGCCAACGATATCTCACATACAGGAGAAAGAGAAATGCATATAGAAAGGGGAGTACTAAGTGTTAGATACGGAAAGAATGCAATCCGCTATAAGTTGCCATAAGATTAAGGGAGATGGAGAGACGATTACAGCGCCGCCATCGGTTGGCTAACGCACTATTTATCGAGCATCGAACGTCCGTATCCTTCTGAGCTTCTATGGAGACTTCTGAATTCATTGTCCTGGGTCCCGATTCTGGGGCCACTTTCTGTGGAATCGATTATAGGCGTTATGTCCCCTTATACTACTTCATGGATTAAACGTAATCCTTTAAACGAGATATACTTTCGAATGAGAATACAATTTTTTACTTGTTTTTAAAGAAATGCTTTCTATCAACCCTGGTTCTAGAATATTCCTTAGACCCTTTTAATAACTCGTGCAGGTGCGAAGCTTATACATAACCTACACACCACCCTACCACATTCTAGTAAGTTATCGAAGAGAAGCGTTACGTCCTACCACGGTACGAGAGAAACCGCTGTGCTTGTCATTGGACCTCTTTTAAAAGAAGTCCCTCCATTTCGTCGCCATCTTGGCAGCTCTGGTGGCCAAGATACCGAAAAAGCACACCAGACTCATCGATGCATCTCAAAGGATGGTTATGCACATTTCAAATGGCTGCCGACGCGTGTAATTTGTATAAGACTTCTTGCGTACATCGTTAAATTGGTCGGTGGGGTGATAATCCAAGTTTTCCTCTTTTGATCGCCGTCGAGGCTGTTGCATGATGCCATTGGGTTGGCAACCAAATGATTGCGGATTTTGCCGATAGATGGCGTTAAAAAGTCCGCAATCACTTAGTTGCCAACCCAATATTACCTTGTGACCCATCTGCCGATCCAAAACTTTGTCGCTGTAAAGTCGTCAACTGTACGGACACTCTACGGCCGAGTCCAGTGCCGTAAATAGCATTTAAAGGACCCCTTATTCCCTTGGTACATTAATAAAACATAGTAATTGTTTTCGTCTCGTCTAAAACGCCGCCAACTTGACGCGTTTACTTGATTGAAAATCTTTCAGTGGTATAGATTCATTTCTAATTCTTTTTTTTCTGTTTCATCTCGGGGCCCTCCCAGGCTTTTCTTTTGGTCTAGGCTCTGTTGAAGTGCATCTGCTTAATTACGGCACTCAAGCTTATAGTTGCTGCCTTTTTTCCTTCATTAAATAGTCGCCTCATTACGTTCACGAGATCGCCAAACTCGACTGCGCGAATGCTCCATTGCTGAATCCAGTCCCGTTGCTGGATTTTCAAGGGTCTCGTTTTAGGCTTTATTTTCAGCCTCATCTTGGAAAGGATGTTGATAAATTTAATAAAACAAATAATTGTTAACGGCACTGGCTGGACTATTACACGTTGTTCAATCAACGATCCTTGATATCTGCTGCCTAACTTTTTCTTTTAAACAATCTTTTAAACAAATATGTTGACACAGGATCGCCAAGTTCGACTGTGTGGACTATTACACGTTGTCCAATCGACGATCTTTGAAATCCACAGCCTAACTTTTTCTTTTAAACAATCGCTCCATTATGTTGACACGGGATCGCCAAACTCAACTCCGCGAATTCTCCATTGCTGAATCCAGTGCCGTTGCTGGATTTTCAAGGGTTTCGTTTCAGGCTTCTTTTTGAGCCTCAACTTGAAAACGATCTTATTAAAAGTGATAGAAGAAACAATATTTACGTCACTGGCTGGACTAGTACACGTTTTCCAATCGACGATCCACGATGCCCGCTACCTAGCCTCCTTTAGAAGAAGTCGCCGCGTTGCGTCGCCATCTTAGCAGCCCTGGTGGCCAAGACACCCAAAGAGCACACCAGCCCCGTCAGTGCATCCCAAAGAGTGGTCCTGCATCTTTTGGGTGGTTGACTGCCATAATTGGTATAAGACTTGGAGCGTACGCCGTTAAGCTGGTCGGTGTGGTGGTATTCCAAGCTCCCGGGTTTCGACCTCTGTCGAGGCTGTTGCATTATGCTGTTATCATGGGACCCGTCCGCCGACCCGATGCTCTGTCTCTGGGAGGTCGCCAAGCTCGACTGCACGGATGCTCTATGCCCGGACCATTGGACGTTGCTGAGTCGACGATCCATGATGTCGGCGAGGTTCTGGTGCATGCGACGGTCAGCTTCCGACGAGATGACGACCAGTACCTGGTACTTGGAGGCTGCCCTAGAGTCCGCGCGTACGTCTTCGGCTTGTCAGGCGTATTCCGTGTCCGTGGAGGCGGACCTCTCCAGGTGGCCATGTTGCTGAGCCTGGGCATAAGCGAGGCTCTTCTGGTAGCTGAATAGCTGCCTCTCCAGGGAGTAATTCTCCGCCTGGAGGGTGGCGATCTCCCTTCGCATCTGTTGATTGTGAACGCGACACACGTCGTCGTACTTATGATAGGTGGCCTGGAACAGAAGGTGGCTCTCGTTCCACTCAAGCCTGACGCGCAATTGTCCCTTGTCCGTAAGAAAGGGACAGTGATTGTCCTTAACTTCGCTAACGCCAAGCTTGGTCTCCATGATGATCCCCTCGTCGACCGGCTCCTGGGCGTAATATCGACTGAAAGGGGCCCCAGGAAGCTCGATCGCCTCCGCGTCGGAGTCCTCGCTCCTCATCAGGTAGGCCGACCAGCTGACGTACCTCAGGTGGTTCCGGGGCACGTTGTGGATGTCTTTGTACACCAGGTGGAGACGCACCGTGCTCGAGTGGAGGTCCGCGCGGATGGACCACGCTTGCTTGTCGCGGTCGTAGCAGGGCGCGGCAGGCAGGACCGATGGACCTATGGCTTGGACCGTCACCTCGGAGATCGTCCTCGCCTCCACCATCTCCAGGGACACTCTGAGGACCCCCTTGATGGCGATCTCGGACCAGCGGACGCGCGGGTGCCATCCGAAGCCGCAGCCTTCGGCGTTGGAGAGGTCCTCTATGTGGCCTGAGTCGATTCTACGGTCGCCCTCGCCCATTGCGACGCTGTAGCGGACTCTACACCTGTGGTCGAATCCTGTTAGCCGCACCAGGTAGACGCTCAGTCGGCCTTCCTGGCGATTCTCGGCCTCCTTGTTGCCGAAGGGATAGATCACCAGGTTCCAGTCGAAGCCACCGAACGTGAAGTACCCGGTCTCCAGCTTGTTAGCTTTTGCTTGGCCTGCTGAGAACACACCTGTTGGCATCCTGACCTCTGCCGTGTAGACGGTCCTTACGTTCGCCATCGACAGCTCCAGCTGGAACTCTCCGTTCGGGTCCGCAAAGTTGCGGCTGTACAAGTCCGATACTGGAATGTAGTTTCGATTACCTTGAGCCGGGGCATCGTATGTGAACTTTACCCGCTTCCCGGAGAACCCCTCGTTAACGGAAAAGTGTTCTCGGTTCAACAGGGTGAAGGTGAAGTCGACGTATACCCGAAGTCCGGGAGCTGCGCCACGCCACACCAAGTACACACCTAGGACCTGGACAAGAAGAACGGATCCGTTATCATTGATATGAAGCCAATCATGGTGAATGATAAAATTTAGTTTCTTAGGCGTGATTAAGGTGAAACGAAACCTCCCTCAATTTAGTCGATTCAAATGACACTTTTTTTTTAAATCGTTGGACCACCCTGTTTGAATCATTGACGAATGACTCCTGAACACTTAAGGTGATATGAAAGGGTCAGCTATTATATATCTGAGAAGTCAAATCGTTTGGGAAAGTATTCTCCGAATTGGGTGCACCGATTCGTTTCAAATTTTACTACGGCCCTAAAGTAGGTCCTGACACTCACGAAATTTCATTTTTCATACGAAATTGATTTATTTATCATGGACTGGAACCAACATGGCGTGGCCCGGGCATGATTTCGATGTTTTACGATTCTTGGAGGCTTAGAATCAAAAATGAAGAGTTTCAGCACCTAACACCAAGATTTAGGATACCGTAGGAATGGAATATAACAAAGTCATATGGGAAAATATGGAAAATAGTTTCACCAACGATCGCAAGAGAATGCCGGTCTTGTCTCGGGGCTAACGCGGGTCTTTAGAGAAAAAATTTAGTTGCAGCTAAACGTCACAGATGGCGACGTTGGTCTTAAGCAGTCGTTAGAATAATGTATTCCCGGGATTTCGACAGTTTTACGTCGATCTTTTCATCATTACTTTACCGAAATGACACATGGAACGCTTCATTTTGTATAATTCTCAACGTAGACTGTAAAAGGCTTCAATATAAATATAAATATCAGTAACGGGACGCGTCAGATTATTTTATCACTCCAGTATTCAAAATGACGTTGCCACCAAAAAGGGTACAGATGAATTTTAATTTCTCAGCCTGGATTAAATTTCTCAGCGCCTTTCGTATCATCTTAATGTGACTTTCAATCGAAAATGAAGATTTTCAAGACCTAGCTAAAACGATGTTGAATACCGTAGAAATGGAATATTACAGAGTCAGGTGGGAAAATATGGAAAATACTTTCACTAACGATTGGAAGAGAATGCTGGCTTATCTCGGGGCTAACACGTGTCCTTAGAGAAAAAATTTAGTTGCAGCTAAACGTCACAGATGGCGACGTTGGTCCTAAACAGTCGTTAGAATAATGTATTCCCGGGATTTCGACAGTTGTACGTCGATTCTTTTATCATTACTTTACCGAAATGACACATGGAACGCTTCATTTTGTATAATTCTCAACGTAGACTGTAAAAGGCTTCAACATAAATGTAAATGTCGGTAACGGGACGCGTCAGATTATTTTATCACTCGAGTATTGAAAATGACGTTGCCACCAAAAAGGGTACAGATGAATTTTAATTTCTCAACCTGGATTAAATTTCTCAGCGCCTTTCGTATCATCTTAAAAAGTATCCTGACATTTTGAAAATTTGAATTTTCGACTTAGCTTAGACTAGAACCAAAATGACGTGAAGCTCTCATATTTTCATCGATATACAATTATTGAATGCTGTTATGAGGGCATTTTAAGTCTAGATGGGATGGCGCGGAGTGCAAAAGGTTAATTAAATTTGTTGCAAACATTCATACCTTGTCCCCACGCGACAGGGCCACCGACCATTTCTGAAATCCGCAAACTAGCTCCTTGCTCGTCACATCTCTCTCTGGATCACGCACCACCGTTCTGGTGATGATAAAGGAGAACACCCGCGTGCCACCGCGATCCGGCAGCTGTGCAAACCTGTGCAACAGGGCCATCACCGCATTACGAAGATTCTGCCGAGTTTCTTTGGTTGACTCAGTCTCTATTGTCGACGCTCAGTACCTCGTATCGACGCTGAAAAGAGAATAATGGCCGGATCAAACGGAGGAAATGCGTGACTTACATTAAAAGAACATATGTGCCCATAATTATGAAAGTGGTCTAAGTCAAAATTAAAAAAAAATTGAGTTTATCAGTTATTTCACGCCATATTATTTCAAACGAAATTAATTCAATGTAATTTCGAAAGAAAAAATATATGACTTAGACCACTTTCATAATTATGGGCACATATGACATGTATTCGGAGAGTTAATGACGAGTGTATAAATGTATGATTAGGAAAAAATAGGCAAGTAGCACCGACGTTTGAGTTAACCCTTTGCGGTCGATGCCGTCACAGTGGCGGCATGATGTCATTAATCCCTCAAATGGTGGAGGAAAATGTTTTTTTGGGGCATGGAGATGTGCGACATGTGCTAAATTTGCTCCGGCTAGCTGGTACTCCCATATGAGAAATTTGCCGATCGCGAAGGGTTAAAATCCGTAACCAAGGTTTACTTAACGCGCGATTAGGGTCAAGCACTCGACTTCAGTTACCAAACAATGGATTTTAATTTTCAGGTAGTTTATTTTATGTCCGGGCAAAAGGAATTGCGCTAATTCAAGATTAACTCATCATGGTTAAATAATTTTACCATAATCATGGCTCGAATTAAAATCTTAACCAAGGATTATTTTACGCACGATTAAAGTTAAGCACACGACTTCAGTTACCAAACAATGGATGTTAATCTTTAGTTAGTTTATTTTATGTCCGGGCAAAAGGAATTGCGCTAATTCAAGATTAACTCATCATGGTTAAATAATTTTACCATAATCATGGCTCGAATTAAAATCCTTAATCAAGGATTACTTAACGTGCGATTAGAGTCAAACACTAGACTTCAGTTACCAAACAATGGATTTTAATTTTCAGGTAGTTTATTTTTTGTCCGGGCAAAAGGAATTGCGCTAATTCAAGATTAACTCAGCTTAGTTTAATAATTTCACCCTACTCACGGTTCGAATTAAAATCCTTAACTAAGGATTACTTAACGCGCGATTAGAGTCAAGCACTCGACTTCAATTACCAAACATTGCATTTTAATTTTCAGTTAGCTTAATTTATGTCCGTGCAAAACGAATTGCACTAATTCAAGATTACCTAATCGTAGTTTAGAAATTACGCCCTAATCACAGCTGTAGCAATCAGTCTAGAATGACATTACAATATTATGTTATAATGGTAAAAACAAAATGGCGTCGGAAAAGGCTTCATCCGTGACTCGAGAAACATGTGCAACAAACGATTCATGGTTTCAATCTCGATATGAAACAAGGTGCAAAGTATTTTGCATTGATATAAATGATTTTCCACCAAGATTCTGTTCATTTATCGCTCTACGATTTAGAAACAAACAAGAAATACTTTTATCGCGTACATACGTTACTTAAAATATTAAAATCATTTGTAATATTTATACTAATTTGCTGGAACATAAATTCACATAGAGAATGTCATAAATACCGAGAATGATAAGAAAATAGAGAAATTTTCTAACAAACTAGTTTGACTGCACTTAAAATAAAACACATTCGCAAAACGCGTATCTCAAGACTTCACCATGAAGTGTTCACGTTTCATTTAACCTCCAGTCACGTGAAACTATGATCGTTTAGAATTCCAAAAATTATCAGTCATTAACATTAACAATTTCGGAGAAATTAATGTCCCATTAGGCATTGCACTCTTCATTGGGTCGTGAGGTACCGAGACAAATGCTTCCCCAAAAAGTCAACGTACATAACAGCTTTAAGTCACACCACTAATATTATATATAATATAATTAACCAAGTAAGTATAATATTATATTTTACAATTAAATATGATATAATTAACCAAGTAAACGAATGCAATCTGCTATCAAATGGGAGATATTAAAATCTTTTCAGAGCGGGTAACTTTCTCCGTTTTCCACCTAGGGTTCTCCAGACAAGAAAACATGGCGAACAGTGGAGAACAGCCGGAGATTTTTCGAGCCGCTATTCTTTACCGAGAATGGGGCTGGCGTTTATTCAAATTGGAGAAACATGCCGATGCGATGAAGATGTTTCAGAAGTCGATTACATTTGCGGATACTAACGATATTAGGACCCTTCTTGGCCTGAGTATTGTTTTAGCGCGTCTTACCGAGTACCTAGAAGCCGCAAAAGTAGTGGACAAGTTAATGGAAATCGGTAGGTTAAAGAAATTATCTCAACTGGAGAAGGAAACAGTAATTACAAGACTTCAATCTTGAGTCGTACATGGTCTTGGTCTTTTTGATAATCTAATTTCCAATTTTCATTTTAAATCTTCCCAAATATTAACCCTTATCACTCCGAGAATATCGGAAGAGTATTTAGAAGTTGGCAGTATTACTGCCGATTGGAGTGATAAGGGTCTACAAAAAGCTTACAATGGCCGCGCGAAGTTGAACACTCTCATCATTGATATGTTATTCTTGTTTCAGATCCACAAAATTATAAAGTGAAATGGGAAAGGGTTGACAGTCTCTTTAAAATCGCTGAGTTCGGTTATAGCATGATTCATGCATACCAAGGACTGCGAAAACGGAGATACCCCTTTGAATGGGGTATCTTTCAAGGGAACGAAACCATAGAGGATTGCGTGGGGAGGAATACCTCGCCGATAGCATTAAGGGAATTATTCCCATGGATAAAAGAGATGCAACGAGAACGTAAAATACGTTTCAGCAAACTGGCCGAGGAGGAGGACGATGACTTTGTAGGTACGTTTGGCAAAGAATGCACGTAAAGGAAAGTGCAAGATAATGAAAAAAGGGAATCATAACCCTGGTAGCACAGAATAACTTCTAAATATTTTCTTTGTAATCTTTGCTAAATATCTCAAACGACAGATTTGTTTAAGATGTTTTTATTTGCATTTGAAGATATCTAAAATATATGTTGAAAAGTCTGAATGATATATTTAGTTTGAATGATTCATGAACATGTATCAACATTATACTTTTTAATTTATAAATATATAATGAAAATAGAATGCACGTAAAGGAAAGTGCAAGATAATGAAAAAAGGAACCATAACCCTGGTAGCACAGAATAATTTCTAAATATTTTCTTTGTAATCTTTGCTAAATATCTCAAACGACAGATTTNATAATAAAAATAGAATGCACGTAAAGGAAAGTGCAAGATAATAAAAAAAGGAACCATAACCCTGGTAGCACAGAATAATTTCTAAATATTTTGTTTGTCATTTTTGCTAAATATTTTAAACGACAGATTATAGACATATCACCCTAAACATTTGAACGAGTCTTAAGCTGATATGAAAGTGTGATATATGCGTACCAAAAAGTCAAAATATTTATAAAACTTTTCTCCAAGTTGGGTGCACCGACTCATCTGAAACTTTAACACATGATTATGGAGGCCCTAAGTAAGAACGCACTGCTCATAAAATTCCATTTTTCGAAGAAAAATATCTTTTTCGTTCTCGTCCGTGAATAATGTAAAAGTTTGTTTCAAAAACTGAAATTTCACGGGCAGCGCGTTTTTCCTTGTCGCCTCCATAATCACGTGTTAAAGTTTCAGATAATTCGGTGCACCCAGTTTGGAGAAAAGTTTTATAAATATTTTCACTTTTTGATACGTATATATATCACACTTTTATATCCCTTTAAACATTTGAACGAGTCTTAAATATCCTGTATAATTTTCAACGTCAGATACAACAGAAGTTGACGAAGAACAAGCTCGGTTCATAGTGAACGACCCAGAAACAAAGCGGGAAATCCACCTTAAGATGTGGCACCGCATATTGGCCCAGACATACCTCGGGCATTTAGCTCGCGATAAATACTTCCTCGACGAATGCATCGACAATCCAAACCTGCGATCAGCCAACAAGAACGGCAGCGACGATTTATGCGAAATGGTTGAGAGATGCTACGACCAGTCCGAATACCGCCAAGAGATCCTGCGAATCCGAAAGCCATTCTACGTCTTCAGATTTATGCGAAAAGCGCGGCCATTGGGTCACAAAGCGATGATTTGGAACGAGAAGCAAATACGTCGGCATAACATCGTCCTCGAGGCGAATTTCCTCTTGTTAAGGTGATATGAAAGTGCCATTCGAAGGGATACATCGGTCAACCTTTTTTTCCGAACTGGGTGTACCGAATGAAATTTCATATAAAGTTTGTTGCCATTCCATATTGTTAAGTTTGAATCGATTCGGTACACCCAGTACAGAGAAAAGTTCCACAAATGAACCCTCTGACGCCACTTTTACACCACCTTAAGGTGATATGAAAGTGTCATTTGAAGCATACATCGGTCAACTTTTTTTCCGAACTAAATGTACCGAATGAAATTTCAGGAGTTTCAGGACCTTCCTTATGCCCTCCATATTTATATTGTAAAGTTTGAATCGATTCGGTACACCTAGTACGGAGAAACGTTTCATGAACGAGAACTCTGCGCCACTTTCATATCACCTTAAGGTGATAGTCAAAATATTTATAAAACTTTTCTCCAAATTGGGTGTACCGAATCATTTGAAACTTCATCCCGAGATTAAGGAGGCCCTAAGGAAGAACGCGATGCTCGTGAAATTTCATTTTTCCAAAAAACAATTGTATTTAATTCGGACAAGAACAAGACATTTTTTTTTTTCAATGAAATTTCACAAGAATCGCGTTACTCCTTTGGGCCTCTATAATCACGTGTTAATGTTTCAGATAATTTGGTGCACCCAGTTTGGAGATAAGTTTTATAAATATTTTCATTTTCTATTATGTATATATCACACTTTCATGTCACCTTAAGGCTCCACAACACTAGGATGCAGCGCAAATTTTTTTTTTAATTGAAATTTCACAAAAATCGCGTTCTTTCTTTTGGGCCTCCATAATCACGTGTTAAAGTTTCAGATAATTAGATGCACCCAGTTTGGAGATAAGTTATATAAATATTTTCACTTTTTCTTATATATATATATGTCATACTTTTATGTCACCTTAAGGCTACACAACACCAGGATGCAGCGTGACTACCCTCTGTTCTTCCGATACGTCGACCGTACTAAGGTTAAGTTCGATTCGTACCCCGATGACATGTTCCCCCTGAAACGGAAGTGCCTTAATACGGTATACAAGATGGCCGCCTGGGCGTACATAGATCCGCGTAATCTGACGGATTTACCGGATGAGAGGACTAAGCTGCGTTACCTGAGGCATCACATAGGTACTGGTTTTAAAATCTCGAGAATTTAAATTCGAGTAATATAACCGAGAATGTTAGAGCAATGTAAAAGTTTAAAGACGTCCGTAAAGAAATTTGAGAATCGAAAGGGTCAGGACAATTTTACGACAATTTAGAACACTCTGGTAATCGATAAAATCGCGTTTGAACGGGATAAAGACAAAAAAAGTGTTGTATGCGCTTCTATGCCAAAACGATGGGAATACGAGGTCTCGGAGTGAAAATTTAATTGACCTGGAAATCACAGATGGCGCAGGGGGTCCCTCTGCAGTCAATAAGGCCCCCAGAAAGCATGAATCCAGAGGATTTCTGGAGTTTTACTTCGATTTCTTTATAATTGTTGTACGAAAACGATAGGTGGAATATGCCATTTGGTACAATACCCAATATAATTCGATAAAGCTGTGAATATAATAACGAACGTCGTCAACGTAGGCATTTAGAAAAATCTTTATCGACGTCGATCAAGTTCCTCGACGTGTTTCACTTCACCTTAAGAAAAATTGAATTCTTCTAAATCCTCAGAGAATTTAATGATCATTTATATACCCGTTCTCGTTGATATTACCCGGGTAAATGAAACTGACGTAAAAACAGGATTCTCTGTATACAGGATTTCGGGTGGGAAAACTGCCACGAAACAGTCAGTTGGCGTGGGTACCAACTCTCGACCGCAAGGCGGCGCTGGGGCGCTTCCGAATCAGATTAGCAATGGCGTCGGAAGCTCTGGAGCTCGCTTGGCTATTCCACGAGCTATCGAAGCTCCTCGTAGAGATACGGCGCTTCGACCTGGCGAGATTTTACGCTAAGAAGGCCAGAGACGCCGGCATCGAGGCAAAGAGCGATCAATGGACGTTGAACGCGAATCACATTCTCGTCAGGATAGAGATTTACCAGCATAATAGAAACGAGGCCAGAGAAGCGGCGCAGGTGGCGCTATCTACTGCCGTGAAGTTGGACCTGGATTACCTCGTAGACTTTTACAAGCGCGCCATTAAGCTCGTCGAGAAGATCGATCTAGATAAAGTCGTCGACACGGATAGTATAGCTATACGGGAGAAGGCCATTTTGGACCTGATGCCGGAAGAAAAGAAGACGGAAGTGGATTTTCTCCTGAGGAGCATGAACGTCGTCCCGGCGAAGCGCAGGCTGTCGGTTATGCCCGGGTGTAAAACCGTTAATCATAAATACCAATTGCCTTGTAAAAGGAATACTATATTACCGAGCTCGCCTAAGAACCCGGAAAAGGAAGCCAGGACGAAGTTGCTCAACCGGTACGCGCATGCGCATAAGGTCCTGGGGTCGATCAATTTTTCGAAATACGAATGAACCGAATGTCTGCAGGGAGACGTTAGTAAAGTGTAATAGAGTATAGAACGACTCGATGTTTCATTGCTGAGGTGTTATTAGGTATTAGGGAATATTTCCTTACTGATTCGTGGAGATATACCCGTATATTGACGTGAAGAACACTCGACGGCGTTCGCTTCGCTTGAAATGTATTTGCCACGAAACTCTGCCGATGTTTAAGCCTGACGGTAAGAACAAGGTGTACATTTTTGACGTTACATGCCTTGGAGCAAGACTGCGTGTTCTGAAATTGACCGAATTAAATAAGATATGTAAATCATTCCTAAGATAATTAGATTTAGAGTGTACAACAAGAGACATTTTAAAATTAATACCCGGACAGCATAAAGTGTATTGACGTAAAGAACACTCGACGGCGTTCGCTTCGCTTGAAATGTATTTGCCACGAAACTCTGCCGATGTTTAAGGTAAGAACAAGGTGTACATTTTTGTAAATCATTCCTAAGATAACTAGGTTTTCAGAGTATACACCAAGAGACATTTTAAAATTAATACCCAGACAGCATAAAGTATATTGAAGTAAAGAACACTTGACGGCATTCGGTTCGCTTGAAATGTATTTGCCACGAAACTCTGCCGATGTTTAAGCCTGACGGTAAGAACAAGGTGTACATTTTTGACATGACATGTATTGAAACAAGACTGCGTGTTCTGAAATTGACCGAATTAATGAATAAATTAATTAATGAAACTTGGTTAATTTATAGACCAGAACAATACAAAAAAAGTTTCATTTGGATAGAACAATTACTGCTCGCGTAAGGGGTAAAAGAAGTATTCAAAGGGGTGGCTCACCCCTTAAAAATGAACTTTTTCGAAAAATTCCAAATGCACGTTTCATAATTCTTCATTCCCTACATATTGACGGTTGTTTCATGAAAATCGGTCGAGTGCTTCTATATGAAACAGCCAACTCACCCCCTTGCACGGCCAACTTTGAAGCCTGATTTCACCCCCTAAAAGTGTTTATCCGCCAATAAAAGAAAAAAAAAAACACGAGTCCCTTAGATATTAGTCCTCTATAACATATTTAAAAATGAACAAAATCGGAGGGGGACACCTCAGATACCTTCCTTGTAAGCAGGACGTGATTCACGTCAGCGGCAATCAGGAATAGAATTAAAAATGACGTGAATTCACGTCAGCGGCAAACAGGAATAGAATTAAAAATGACATGAATTCACGTCAGCGGTCGCGAAAGTGTTAATATTGAAATATTTTCAAAGAATGTTCTATGAACCTCTGGTGCTCAGGATATGTGCCCATAATTATGAAAGTGGTCTAAGTCAAAATTAAAAAAAAAAAATGAGCTTATCTGTTATTTCACGCCATATTATTTCAAACGAAATTAATTCAATGTAATTTCGAAACAAAAAATATATGACTTAGACCACTTTCATAATTATGGGCACATATGTGCTGTCTGGGTAGTCCTTATCCTGGAGCGGTTCCCTTTTGTTCCCTGTACAAGCAAACCGAACAAGTGACCGTCTTGAACCTAATAGTCCACGTTACGTCAGAGTCTCATAAATCTGCGAGAATTTCAATTAATTTCCTCGCACCCGCTCATTAATCCCCCCCGAACCCGGTCCCTAAAGGTCTTCCTAGGTCCTCTTCAAAGGTATGAAAAACGTCGCAGTAAAGGACGAGTTGCGATCCAATTACCGAGAAAATGAGTCCGAAGCTCGGAGAAGTTCGGAGCCGGCAATTTGTCGAAGCCCTCCACCGAGAAGGCACGAGGTTCTACCATCAAGGCCATTACGAGTCAGCAATGATCTTGTACAACAAGGCAGAAAAGCTTCGTCCATGGGATAAGAGACACAACATGGCGTCCAGTAAAGCGATAGAAGCGATAAACTCCTCCATCAATCCACCCCCTGGTATAAAAAAGCTCTTGTCTCTCCCCAACCTCGAAATACCACTGGCAGCCATCCTGAGCCCCGAAACTGCGGCATCGGTATTCGAAAAGATCTTAAAAGACAACCCCTCGGCCGCGACGATCGAGAAACTTCTCAGATACTTGGACGGTCGCAAAGACTTTTGGAGGTTAGGTTCGCCAGCCGCGGGTTTGGGTACCTCAGAAGTTACGATTAAACGAATTACGAGACTGGCCCTTAACATGACGAGGGATCTGGAGAGATCACTTGCCAGAGGTAAACTCGATTTAACCTTCCACGTCGCGCAGGAACTTGCCAAGATGGCGGACGCTTTTCTAGAGCCTCATCGGTACCACGTGATCGCTTATAATTTCATAACTTTAGCTTCCGTAGCGCAGGGTCGCCACGATCGAGCGGTCGACAGCGTTACGAAGATGATTATTTCGGCAAGAAAGTCGCGGAAACTCGTGCTGAAGACCCAGGCTTTGGTAACTTTGGGCATAGTGCATCTCACGTTCGGCCATCTTGACGCGGCGGCGAAAGCGTGGGAGAGTCTCGTAAACAAGATGGCGGACTCGGTACCAAGGGCGTGGACGTGGCACGAGATCGGCCGTAGCTACTTGGAGACTGGGAAGTATTCCAAAGCCCTGGAAGCATCCTCTAGGTGTCTAGAATCAGCGACAACAGCGGGCACCAGGAAATGGCTACTCCACGGGAAACTGCTAAGAGGCCAGGCACTGGTCAAGTTGGGAAGATTCGGAGAAGCAATGGAGACGCTAAACTCGTCCGCGAGGATCACGGAAAAAGAGGGCGACGGTGTAATGTTGGTTTACATTAAAGAGCTACTAGGGGAGGTTGGTAAGGCCTTGAGAAAGTCCCAATTAAAGCCTATAAATAGGGATTTGTCGGGCCAGGGCGCGCGTGGCCTGCGGCAAGGTACAGATTTTGATAAAAAAGGGAATGAACAGGATTCAGGACAACTTCTGTTGCTTCGTAAGGAAGGAAGGAAGAGTTTGGAAGCTAAGGGAACGATTTATCGGGTGAATTCCACGAAGGGGATGCAAAACGACGAGTTTAATAGAAGCGGCAGGATTTCTACCGGGAAATCCAAGATGGCGGCGCACGGAAGACCGCAAGAGGTGGAGAGTTCTTTCGCAGAGTCGATATTCGAAGAAACAGACAAACGCTTCCCTATGAGTATCTCGGCACGCTCGATACGAAATGTAAGAGAGGGGGAATATGAATTGGGGACGTCCAGAACTCAAATAATTCGGAGAGATATTATGAATCTTTGCTAAACATCTCAAACGACAGATTTCTTTACAATGTCTTCATTTGCATTTGAAGATATCTAAAATATTTGTTGAAAAGTCTGAATGATATATTTAGTTTGAATGATTCATGAACATGTATCAATATTATACCTTTTAATTTATAAACATATAATGAAAATAGAATGCACGTAAAGGAAAGTGCAAGATAATGAAAAAAGGAATCATGACCCTGATAGCACAGAATAATTGCTAAATATTTTGTTTGCAATCTTTGCTAAACATCTCAAACGACAGATTTCTTTACAATGTCTTCATTTGCATTTGAAGATATCTAAAATATTTGTTGAAAAATCTGAATGATATATTTAGTTTGAATGATTCATGAACATGTATCAATATTATATCTTTTAATTTATAAACATATAATGAAAATAGAATGCACGTAAAGGAAAGTGCAAGATAATGAAAAGGGAATCAAAGATCACGAAATTCAAGAGAGGGGAAATATGAGTTATGCACGTCCAGAACTCAAATAATTCGGAAAGATATTGAGAATCTTTGCTAAAGATCTCAAACAACAGATTTCTTTACATTGTCTTCATTTGCATTTGAAGATATCTAAAATATATGTTGAAAATCTGAAATTCCAAGAATCAGACAAAAGCTTCCCTATGAGTACCTCGGGACGCTCGATACGAAATGTAAGAGAGGGGAAATATAAATTGGGGACGTCCAGAACTCAAATAATTCGGAGAGATATTGGGGACCTAGAGTCAGGCAGAAAAGGTACAGCGCGAAATATTCAACAGGAACGAAAGCATCGGAAATCGGTTTAATGAAATCAAATGCCATGAGTATTCTACAAGCACCGATTCGTTAAAAGCCTTAAGGAAAAACCTTAATTAAGTCCACCGGAGCCGCAATGAATTAATACTTCCGTTACATGTATTACAAATAGAGCAGGTCAATTCCAAAACCAGCGATAATAAAAAATGCAGTAAAGCGGAGGAATGGAGATAGAAGAAGGAAGGCGAGGAAATGGGAAAGGAAAATGAAACGTGAAGAAACGGGGGAAAAAAAAGAAGAAGAAGAAAAGAATTCAAGGAGGGGGGCGAAACAAAGGAAGAGCTAAGTGGGACAAGGGAAAAAAAAAGAAGAAGTTAAAGTGAGGGAAGGGGGAGGAAGATGTAGCACAACGCAGCGTAAGGAAATAATTGAAGAACAGACTGTCGGAAGGCCCCTGGAAATATTATAGAAGAGCCCCACTTTTGAGAAATTCCATCAATAAAGTGTATCGCAATTACGGGGATGAAGAACGTATCGCAAGTTGTAATAACCTGCACTGAAACATTAGAACGCCACCGTAATATTCATAAGACCGTGGTAAACGCAATTTAATTATCCGAGGGGGTTATTACTCGCAAAGGTATTTTCGTGTCCCGCAGATCTGCTCTGATAGCATTAAGTATCCGTTGGTGCACGTCCGGAGATTTGCTTTTCGAAAATTCATTTCGCCCCTAGACGCCATAGTCGTTCTTAACCACTTGGCCCGAGATTTAATCGACTACGTGCCTGGCTCGAAGCAGCTATCACGTGTGAGAGGCTTTATCCACCCCGAGTGGTTAATCGTGCAAAACGCAAGAACGCTGTTCAACAGTTGGTGTACTATTTATTAGTAATTTGGCTTACAACACTATAAAAATTAACACTTTACCGACCGGAAGCCTATTAATCGGTTTTGCGATACCCGTGATCGCCATTTACTTCCAAATTCGCCGGTCGGTAAAATGTTAACAGCGAAGCAGCTATCACGTGTGAAAGGCTTTTTATCCACCCCGAGTGGTTAATCATGCAAAACGCAAGAACCCTGATCAACAGTTGGTGTACTATTTATTAGTAATTTGGCTTACAATACGATTAAAATCAACAGCGAAGAAGGTATCACGTGTGAGAGGCTTTATCCACCCCGAGTGGTTAATCGTGCAAAACGCAAGAACCCTGATCAACAATTGGTGTACTATTTATTAGTAATTTGGCTTACAACACGATTAAAATCAACAGCGAAGAAGCTATTACATGTGAGAGGCTTTATCCACCCCAATCGTGCAAAACGCAAGAATCCAGATCATCAGTTGGTATACTATTTATTAGTAATTTGGCCTACAACACGATTAAAAGCAACAGCGAAGCAGCTATTACGTGTGAGAGGCTTTATTCACTTCAATCGTGCAAAACGCAAGAACCCAGATCATCAGCTGGTGTACTATTTATTAGTAATTTGGCTTACAACACGATAGAAAATAACAGCGAAGAAGCTATTACGTGTGACAGGCTTTTTATCCACCCCGAGTAGTTAATCGTGCAAAACGCAAGAACCCTGATCAACAGTTGGTGTACTATTTATTAGTAATTTGGCCTACAGCAAGATTAAAATCAACAGCGAATTTGTCTTCGTTAATTTTCGTACGAATCTAAAAACTATGCAACAGAAGTCCCTACTTTTATTCTTTTCTTGACATCTACGTGGATGATAGGTGGACGTCAATAGTTGGCATACCATTTATTAGTAATTTAACTCTGCTGAGTTTCTTGATACAGCACATATTAAATTTCCAGGAAATTCAAAGCTTACCCCACCTCTCCTACGAGTAAAAAAAAAACATCAAGGCCCCGTAAAGTGGATTTAATCTTTATTCTTTTTTCCGTACCATCAACGCGGATGATACTCGAGAGTAAACAGCTGACATACTATTTATTAATAAATTGGAGCGAGACTCTCCCGACTTTCCTGATACATCACACATAAAATTTGCAGGGAATTCAAAGCTTACCCCACCCCTTCTACGAATAAAAAAAATGCATCAAAGCCCTTAAAGGGGATCAAACCTTTATTCTTTTTTTCCTCCCCATCAACGCAGATACATGATCGTAAACAGCTGACATACTATTTGTAAGCAAATTGATGTGTAACTCTGCCGAGTTTCCTGATAAATCGTACATAACATTTGCAGGGAATTCAAAGCTTAACCCACCCCTCCTATGAATAAAAAAAAAACATCAAAGCCCCTAAAGTGGATCCAATCTTTATTCTTTTTTCCGCGCCATCAATACGGATTATACTTGACAGTAAACAGCTGACATACTATTTATTAATAAATTGGAGCGAAACTCTGCCGAGTTTCCGGATACATGACACATAAAATTTGCAGCGAATTCAAAGCTTAACCCACCCCTTCAACGAATAAAAAAAAAAAAGCATCAAAGCCCCTAAAGTGGATCCAATCTTTATTCTTTTTTCCGCGCCATCAACGCGGATGATATTTGACAGTAAACAGCTGACATACTATTTATAAGCAAATTGATGTGTAACTCTGCCGAATGTCCTGATAAATCACACATAAAATTTACAGGAAATTCAAAGCTTACCCCACCTTTCCTACGAATAAAAAAAAGCATCAAAGCCCTTAAAGTGGATCCAATCTTTATTCTTTTTTCCGCGCCATCAACGCGGATGGTATTTGACAGTAAACAGCTGACATACTATTTATTAATAAATTGGAGCGAGACTCCGCCGAGTTTCCTGACAAGTCACACATAAAATTTACAGGAAATTCAAAGCTTAACTCACCCCTTCAACGAATAAAAAAAAAAAGCATCAAAGCCTCTAAAGTGGATCCAATCTTTATTCTTTCTCCCGCACCATCAACGCGGATGATATTTGACAGTAAACAGCTGACATACTATTTATTAATAAATTGGAGCGGGACTCTGCCGAGATTCCTGACAAGTCACACATAAAATTTACAGGAAATTCAAAGCTTAACTCACCCCTTCAACGAATAAAAAAAAAAGCATCAAAGCCTCTAAAGTGGATCCAATCTTTATTCTTTCTCCCGCGCCATCAACGCGGATGATATTTGACAGTAAACAGCTGACATACTATTTATTAATAAATTGGAGCGGGACTCTGCCGAGTTTCCTGACAAGTCACACATAAAATTTACAGGAAATTCAAAGCTTAACTCACCCCTTCAACGAATAAAAAAAAAAAGCATCAAAGCCTCTAAAGTGGATCCAATCTTTATTCTTTCTCCCGCGCCATCAACGCGGATGATATTTGACAGTAAACAGCTGACATACTATTTATTAATAAATTGGAGCGGGACTCTGCCGAGTTTCCTGACAAGTCACACATAAAATTTACAGGAAATTCAAAGCTTAACCCACCCCTTCAACGAATAACAAAAAATAAAAAATACTTCGAAGCCCCTACAGGGAAACTAGTCTTTATTCCTTTTTTCCTCGCCGTTCGACTAGGGTGATACGCGGCCGTTAACTTCAAGTGTATCCCATCAGGCGATCAATCATGTAAGTTCGTGCAGTGGTAGGAAGGCGCCGGGGTAAATGTGCCATGTCTACATGGTAAGTGCGAGGGTGTGAGTGTACGGTCGAAGTATGCGCGGAGTCCTGGTCGGGCGAACTCGTGCAGGTGAGTATTGATCGGCGGGGTGTGCGGGGGTTACGCACAGGAAGGACCGCTCGCACACACGTAGATAGGAATTACGTGTACGAGGGGACCCTGCCAACCGAATGTACGGCGATGAATGTACTCCTGGACCGAGTTCGGATCCAGGTTTAAAACTTGTGGACACTTGTTCGCCCGACGCGATAAGATAGACGGCCGAGACTCACGAGCGTTCGTGTTGGAGTCGAGAAGGAGCTCGGCAAGGCACACGGGGTTATTTGAATGGCGCTCCCCCAACTGTTGCACGCTGTGGAGTAGCCACGAGGGTAAACGGCAGTCTAGTTTCGGTCCTTACATGTTGCCGCTCTTAATCTTCGCGGGCAGGAGGGGAGCGAGGAGAGGGGGTGTACATATGTCTTCGACGAACATAACCTATCAATAAATATTGCGATATACCGGACACGATACACGCTTCTCCCCGGGGGGTCTATTACGTAAAGGTAATTGAGCGAAAATGTGAAAAATGAGTAGCTCGCGGTATTAACGAATTTTTTTGGCG